CGCTATACCCGGAACCGTTCGCAGAACTGGGAGAAGCCGATCTGCTGCAGCCACGTCTGGACCTCGGCCTCCTTCCAGCTGGGCACGCAGGGCAGGATGGGCCTGGGCACCTCCTCGCGCAGCAGGCGCAGCGCGCGCTTGGCCAGCATCGACGTGGTGCCATTGGTGGAGTAGGAAACGAGGCGTTTCAGGCTCTGGATGGCACCGATGTCGCTGAATACCTAGGGAGGAGTGTGTGTGTGTGTGTGTGTGTGGGGGGGGGTGTTCTTGTATCTGCCATCTTTCCAACCAGCCGCCCCCAAATGTGCCCAGTCCCTCCTTTGTGCCCAGCTGCTTTTCACTGCTGAAAGTCCCACCACCTGCCCTAGCCCTGCCTTCATCCAGCAAATCACTGAGTCCTCTGGATTCCCCCTCCAGAAGCTCCCTCAAAGCTCTTGACCAGGCAGATCCTCTTCATGTCTCCCCTCTACAGCTTCCATCTGTCCTGGTGATAAAGTCTGAGCTCTCAGTATGGCTGCCAGGCCTGGCACAGTGCGGCTTCTGTCCACCATCTCAGTTCACCTCCCCTTTTGCCAACCCACACTAGGGTTGACACCCACTCATGAAGGCTGGTTCACCTCTGGGCCTTGGCCCATGGTGTTCCCAGGCCCTTAGTTCCTCCGGCCTGTTTGGGGGGAATCCTATTCATCCATTGGAATCTAAATTGATTAGCACCTCTTCCATGCAGCCTGCTTTGATTTCCCCACAGTTTCACCCACACCTCCAATTAGACCTTATACCACACTCTGAATGCCACTGACATTAGTTGATAATACAATTTCCACTGGATGATAAGCTGAGGTCATGTCTTAGTTACCCCTGGAGTCCTGAACCTGGTACACTGCAGGCCACAGAGTGGGGGCTTATTATGTCTTTACTGAACTGCACTCATTAGCCTTGCTGGGAAAGGGGTGCCAGAGCTGGTGGTCATGGCTGCTGCCCAGATGCAATATTTCCCAACTCCCTTTCAAGGCTCTTTCCCCAAAGCAAAATGACCTGCTTTGTAAAGTCAGTCCTCCCATGGCCCACCTCTAGGGCACAGAGAGGAGAATCAGAAACTCCTAGAATGCTGGACCTTGGAAGAGGCCTCAGAGACCCCCTAACACAAGTGTCTCCTTGATCTGTGGGGACATACACAATGTGTGACAATCATCTGTGAGACACACTCCTCTGAGCAGCCCCCAGAAGGCCATAGTGACACACACAGGGTGGTTCATGCTGTGTGCACCACTCCCTCTGCACCAGTTGCCACCAATCCCCCAATTTCCTCAGGAATGGAAAGTAGGGAAGGTCACATTATAGGAATAATCTTGATTCTGTAATATTTTTAAAAATAAAAACTTTTGATAATTTAACTTACTAGTCCCACATCCAGGGTAAGAACTACTGTTGTGGCACAGCTGGTATGGCTCAGCGGTTGAACACTGACCTAGGATCCAGGAGATCTTGGTTCAATTCCCGGTCAGGGCACATGCCCGGGCTGCAGGCTCAGTCCCCAGCAGGGGGCGTGCAGGAGGCCACCGATCAATGACTCTCTCATCATTGATGTTTATATATATCTACCTCCCTCTCCTTACTCTCTCTGAAACCAATAAAGGCATATTTTTAAAAAACCCAAAAAGCAAAACCCAAAAAAATCAAAGAACTGCTGTTGTGGTCCACTCCTTCAATTTTCCAGAGGATAAATATGAGACATATAGAAGCTCAGAGAGGGGAAGCCAGATACCCAAGTTCACACAGCAAGTTAAAGCAGAGGGCAAAGGTTTCAAGTCAGACCCTTGGCATGGGGACCTCTGGGGACTCAGGTGGGAGTTGTTTGGCTGACACACTGACCCACTGTTCCAGGCCTCTTTCTCTACACTCCATCTCCTTCCTGGGCTCCAGACCCAAATGACAAAATAGCTCACTGGAGCTCCCTAATTGGTCATCTCTCATGCACCTCAAATTCAACCTGTCTCTCACGCAGTTCATATTATTGCAGTACCTGGTGCCACCATCCACTGGGTTGCCTATGTCCAAAGTCAGGAATCATCCTCAGCTCCTCCCTTTCCCTCACCCAGCCGCCCACCAAGTCCTAATTCTAGCTCTTCAGCACCTCTGGAATCTGTCCACTTCTCTCTGTCTCTCTGTGCCCTAGTCCTGACCTCTGCCATCCCAACTGCACCCTGTCATGGCCTCCTATCTGGCCCCCTTGCCTCCAACCACAACCTTGCCAGTTCCATCTCCACGCAGCACCTGGGTAATCTTTATAAAAAACACGCGTCCCCTGCTTTAAAACCTTGGTCTTGCCTTCAAGACCAGAATGACT